CTTATGGACACTTAGTTATAAATATAATAAACAGAGTAGCGAAGAGAATATTTTTAGAACAATTAGAGAATCTAGGAACAAACTTTTTCTGAATTGATGAGAATAATGGACCTATGACCTGATTTTTAGAACCAACTGTGTATAGAAGGAAACAGATGCCTAGATAATTTATAGATTGTTAAATTTCATTCTTAATTCCTTATTGAGTTATACTTTTTATTACCTAGTCAATTTATTAGTAGGAGTTCAAATACTCAATAAGCATCTACTAGTTTGGTGGGAAGCCAGAAATACCAGGAAAGAAGAGTTATTTAATGGTCACATGACAGAAAGCTAATGTAATTCTCAAAAAAAATCATAAAACCTATTTAGATTTTATAAACAAAAATCATTAAAAAAAATTTCCCATGGGAAAAAAATGAGAACAACATTAAACAATATAAGTACAAGAAACAGAATTTAAAGAAACTAGATAGAATTTTTAGCACCATTTTCTAGCCATCCTTGTCCATGCAAACACATCTCTAAGAAGAAAGCAACATAGCAGTGTGTTAAAAATAATAAAACCCAGAAACAGTGCATACTATAGGGAGGCCTCAAAGATTCTAGATCAGATATGAATGGTAGTTATTATAAAAGATCAAGAAATGCACAAAATACAAAAGTAAAAATCTATGCTATGTATCAGGATACCCCACAATCTATGATATGTATTAGATTTTATGCACATTAGGAATTGCCTTTTCAAAATAAATGTACATAGACAAAGCAAATTATATGTGTCATGTTGATTTAAAAAGAAACATCAGGCATCATGATTTTTAGTAACAATAACAAATACCGTGGGTAGTCTGTGGCTATCAAATGTACCAAACCTAACTGGTTTTCTTTTTTATATGTGTCTTAAATATTGGGTAAGAAGGATAACTGTAAATGTCATTGTCCAGTTGGGATTTCAAGAAACAGGAAAATGTTATTAGTATTTTTATAGAGAAAAATTTTATTCACTGAAAAACCTTGAAGACAATTTCAAAACAAGCAAAAGCACCATGTTATACGGAGGCAATCTAAATATGATATAAACAACCCCTTTATTTGTTTTATTTTCATTCTTAGTGTTAGACTTTAAACTATCTGTAAATGGTCGTTACAATTCAAGGCTGGACATAGCAATAGCCCTTAAAAGCAACTGTTACTTGAACACTGTAATATCTACCTCAACCTCAAACTTACCCAGTGTAACTCACTCACAGCATTTAAATTGATGTAAATGCTTTGCTGCTAAAAATTTGTTCTGGTCACTTTCATTAAAATGTTGAATTTTTTTTTTCTTCATGCTTTCCTTCTGCTGTTTCTGTTGTTAAGCAGTACAATATGAGAAGGACTTTGAAATGATTTTTATGTCCAGACACATAGTGTTTCAACGAAAATCCAATGACGTATTACTATACATCATGAAATTTCTACTTTAACCTGTTTAAGGAAGTTTTTCTTATACATACCAGGAGCGTCATTCAAAGCATTTTACATATTAAATTACTTATCAAAACACAGCATATATAGACCTTGACATTTGTTAAAGAACCAAGGATTTAACCCAAAAACATTTTTAAAGGACCAGAACAAATCTTTAGCAGAACACAGATTATGTGGCAAAGAAGTGACTTACTGGAAGATAGATCGTACTTATCAAGACATACTTTTAGCATATATGTAAGAGACTGGTTGGTTGATTTGTATGGTCACCTGCAAATATGCAGCAGACTGTTGTCGAAAAAAAGGTGAATCTGTGACAATAATGTACAGGAAAGAGAAAAACTGGCAAAGATCCTTTAGTTATAATTTTTTTATTCCAGGAACCCATCAGTAGTCTAGTTCTAATATCCATTTTTTTAAAGTAAAATCTCTAACTATTGTATTTTCATGTGAGTATGTAATTTCAGAATGATTATACATTGACTTATTAAATTGCTTTTTTATTTTCTTTTTTCATTTCTAGAGTAATCATAGGACAAAGTAATAGCTTTACAATGAATGCCAGTATGTGGTTCCTTCGTAGATGTCTTGCTTTACTCAATTTATTTCTGTATTTCTGGTGGTTCAAGAATTTATATGATAACAAAGAGTCTCACTAAATGCAATGAGAGAATAAGCTATATTGATTACTGCTCAAATTGCTTATTTACACATAGCAAAATAATGAAATGCAAGCTTAATCACATCTAAAATATTTTTTAAAATATATTCACATAAGTGTTTATGTAATTTTAAAGACTAATTTCCTATAGAATTTTCATTCCATTCCATCTGAAGAGAATGTACTTCAAAATTGTTATAAATCTATTTTGTAATATCACACAATATGTTTTTAAATTATAATTATTGCTGAAGGAATTATACTAAACAATGAAAAATTACAAGCTGCCTTGTAAATATAGGGTTACACTGTGGACAAGTACAAAAAGGCTTGAAGATTCATCAACAGCTTCAAAATACTAAAGACAACAGAACACTATTAGGAAAAAAATTACCATACATAAATTTTTAGTCAATAGAAAAATTTTTTTTAGAATTCAGAAACACTGTTCAGAATCAGGATTTGGTCTACAGAAAAGCTATATTGTAATGCTATTTTATTTATTGTAATGCTATATTGTAATGTTATTTTGGAAGTATATGAAATTATTTTTAAATAGTTCAATACTTTATAAAGAAAGTGCCACCATTCTTACACATTATCTGCCATCTTTGATGAAAAGCTTATGTTAAGAATAAAGGCATTAAATAATACATCTATATACTATTAAGATACTTTCATCAAAAGTATTTAACCAATAATGAACCCTGTTATCAAATTGTATTTTAAAATATATACTATTTCTACTTATTAGCTTGAATAAAGCTGGCAAGGAACTTTATTTAGCTTTCTCTATTGGAACAAAACATTTTTGTTAAGCCATTTGTGGAAATATGCTTACTCTTTTATCAAGCTCGATTTTTTATCTTAAATAAATATACCTGAATTCTAAATATGTCCCATTTCTCAATCCTGCATGCTACACCTTCCATCAAGCCCCAACATTCTCCCTTACTAATGTGCTCTCATAAATAGATACTTGTTATCCAACAAGTAGTTTATTCATCAAAGAATTTTTACTGCTAGGGCACGTCATTTGCTGTTACTGTTATTGTTGCTGTTTTAAATAAACCAAAGTGGAGGTTCCATTCTGTTATTTGGTTAAAATATATATACATATATTTCCAATTTGGAGCTACCAAATAGAGGACAAGCTTTTAGGATGCTTTCTTAATTTTTTAGGCCACTATTTTATCATTAGGAAATTCTTGCTTTTGTGCAGCAGTAACATCCTGTTGCTTGAAAGAGTTCTTGCAGCTTCACAAAGGATACTGACTAATTTATCAGGGGCAGTTTAACGTGGGCTAAATCTGGCCAGTACATAGAAGCCAACTTCACTTGGCATTTATCCTTTGTCTCTCTGCTGAGATTATCTTCACAAGGGGCAGCTGTGAAGGCCCCTTAAACTGCAGTCCTTTCTAACTCCATCACAGACTTCTGCCTATAGGCATAAGCGTCAGCCTTTCCATTTCTAGAATATCGTTTCCTAAGACAATAGCTTTTAACTTTTTTTCCCTTGCCTTTTAGTAAGACTTTCTTTGTGGACTAATAAAATTTGCTCCTTTTACAGAGGCTCATTAACACTTTTGAGTTTGTTTTCCTTGTCACAATGCTAAGATTAAAAATAAAAAAGGCATTTTTTTTTTTTTAAAAGGTTTTTAGTTTTAGGTTGGCTTTTTTTATTCATTTTTTTCCTTCTTTTTTTCCCAATTTTGAATTCCCGGGCCAATTTTCCCATTTGTTTTATTTTTTTCAATTTTTTTTTTTTGGCCTTTTTTTTTAGATTTTTTTAATTTTAGTTTGGGGAGGACTTATTTTTGAAAAAAAATTGAAATATTCCCCTCTAAACTTATTTAAAGACAAAAGCATCATAATGAAGAAGAATCACGTGGTTTGAACCTTCGCCCCAAACCAGGACTGAGGGAGCTCTGGAATGCCTCACTCTGGGCTTCTCAGGCCATTTCCCCCCAGAGACAGCCTTGTGCACTCGCTTAATCCTCAGGAGACGTGAAGCAGATGATCATAATTCTTTACTAGTATTCTTGATAGGGTATCTCGGGTTCTTGCTGAGTAAAACATTTCTAAAATGCTATCCCATGCTTATAACAACTATGTGCTTTGCACCTCTCACAATTTTTGTTACTTTTCTCTGGATAAGTTCTAACTTGTTGAGTGTAAATCGTCATTTCTTCCACTTTTATAGCACCTGTTTACAAAGCATTCTCCCAGGTCTAACCACCTCTGCAGTATAATCAGAAAGTTCATCTTCACAACAGCCCTGTAATGAATAATCATTTCCTCATTTACAAAACCAAGACTCAGAAAGGCTGTGACCTGTCCAGTCACAAAGCTGTGTTTTATGCAGCCAGACTAGAACCCATGTATATCTTTAGAGTCTATATCTAATGTACTTTCCCCCAAAATTTGCCAAGCATTATTTTTTTTCTGAAAAAGTACTTAATTCAACAGGACCACTTCTAAAACTAATTTTTAACGTACTCATTATTTACAAAATATAAAGTTATAAAATTTTAAATTATGAAAACATAAGCAAATATACTAGAAACTTAGAAGATATATCTCATAGTGTTGAAATACCAGGGATATTTGGATTGTAGATAGAAGGAATTGTTATATCTAGTTAACTTTTAAAATCATTTTCTTTCATTTAACCTAAATATAATTTATACTAAATTTTGATCATATTATATTACAAACAAAAAGGAAACATTATACTTTCTTTTAAACTCAAAGATCATGTAGTTCTAAAATGAATGTGACTGGCAAACATATTTCTTAGTTTTAAATATAATTTTACTTGGATCAAGTTAAGTGAATGTGTACATTTAATATCACTGTCTAGGTTGCTCAATTAAGGGAATCCTTGCACCAATGATAGCAAATACAAGATCTTCTAAGAAAGAACGTATATCATTCCGTGACAATCCTGTACAACTCAGTGGTGGATGGGGAAGTGGCAAAAAGAAGATGAAAACTTCAAACTAATCCTTCAAGCTTCAGCATTCAAAACATATGGCACATTGCTGCAAGAGATCTGTGGCTGTCTGGTCATGTTACCAACCGGATACAATGTTTTAGAGTACTGTATTTAATTTGTATTAATATACATATTTCACAATTCTATTTCCTGGTGGACTTATTTTCCATATGTAAAATACAGTTATGCTGTTGTTCCTGTGTTCATGTGGGATGAATTCCAGAAGTGAATTATTGAAATATTGTAATGGAATTTGCATATCCAATTTCTTTTTTATTTAAAATGCTTATAACACATGTACTAGAGATGATTTTTGTTACCAATAATAAATTGTAATACCATAAATACATCATAAGAAAATATAGCTATACTTTATTGGCCATTTATAGTATTAATGGGTTATTAATATATTAATAAATTTTATTTGACTATTACTATAATTGGATATTTCAAACATAAATTGTTATATAAAAGAATTCAGAATAGAAAATGAAAATAGATTTTTTGTTTTACTTTGTAATCTTAAATAGATTAGAGTTAAGGTAAAAATATATATGTTCCATTTAAATTTAGATGACATAGATTTAAATATCAATTAATGAATTGGATATTTTACCTGTAATGTATCTTTCTTACCATTTATTAAGGGTAAATGCTTATTCAAGTTCATTAATAATATTCTTCTGATTCAAAAGTACTCTTATAATTTTTTAAGTGCCTTAAAATAATTATTGTTAAAAAATCTTTCCAATGTTTTAAACCCTGGTCTTATAATTTTATAAGGTTAATATATTTTCTAAAGCTGCAGATGAGTTTTATTAAACTATTCCTATTGTGTGCTTAATATTCTGTGATATCTTAGCAAGTAGAATATGCAAAATGCTGCATTTACCTTTCAGACCACTTAGGATCTTAACTCTCCTGAGTTTGGGGCTTTTTTCACAAAGCTAAATTTTCAGTGACTTTTCAGTCTGTTGCTGTGTAATAGGATCCAGTGAACTTTTGGTTTGTCTTGCTGCTTTCCTTATTCTTTATTGAAATGCTTCATTTTGAAATGATTAGCAGATTTAGAGATTCATTCATTTAGTTTGCATCCCTCATCTACTTTTGGAGCTCTTTTGCATCTCAAGCCTGTAAATATCTTTTAACTTGATTGAGATGGAAATGTTAATGAGCCTTGAGCTGTCAATTGATAAAGAAAACATAAATTCATATGTTGTGGCCTCGAAATTGAGGCTTTGGAAGTAAGCTCCATGTGTAATTGTTTTGTGAATGATGTTATGTCATATTTTTACTAATAGCATCCACAAACCAACATAATATAATGATGGAAAATATTTTATCTCAGCTTAATGTGAGCCCTTCAAGAGAAAAACCACATTAAAGCTGATATTGATGGCGTTTTATGGTTCAGATGTGCAATCAATAAAGTGGAAAGGCTGGTATGAAAAGTGAGATGTTTATGATTAAACTGCTTTAGAGCCTAAAATAATTTAATCTCTAGTTTCCTTATTCTGTGATCTGTGTAATTGTTTCATAATATTAATTTAGAGGAAGATGATGGGTGTTGATGCTCCTTAAATTTGTAGGTTATGACTCATTTATTTGTCAATAAAATAGTTTCCTAATTATGGAGTTATACTGGAAGTTCTTTGCAGCATCATTTATTGTGTCCAGCCCTAAAATGATTATTGAAAACATCTTGCAAAGTTAAAAATTATCTTTTTAACACTAATTCATTTCTGCTTATGATAATAGAGAAGGTAAATTTTAAAACAGAATAAATTTTAATTAAATTTTTTCTAATTTTTAAAATTTAATAAAGCCTCAAAATAAATCAAAAGAAGAGATACACTTTCTCCTGTTTTCTTGATATTAAGACAAATATTTGTCTTTTAAGATTTGGGAAGGTAGAAATATAAGCTTACATTGTCACTTAGTTGACTGAATTTTGAATTGACAGTAATGGACTTAGGAAATGCTACTATTCAAATGAAAGTCTCAAAATGGCATTGTGTTCTTTACTGCTGCCTGTTTTATGCCCAGTCCCAATTCTCCGTTCTCACCTTCCTACCTAGCTGCTTCCCTCACTGCTATCACAGTCATCACCAATCACTTCTAATAAGAACTTCAAAGCAAATCTCACCACAAAAAGGCTGATAGGATGTTTGGAGATTCCAGGATGTCTTAACAGGAGAGTTAATGATATTGGTTTATGGATCTTACTAGGTGCTGTGGGAAGCAATCCAAATCCTAATTTCTTATTGTGCTCATGCATTAGTTTGTGTTACAGCACTCACATATTTCCTACCAAGTGCAGTTTTCATAATCTTTAGAGGCAAGAAAAATCTTCACCATCAAGATTTATGATTCTCATGACTATACTGGGGGCAAGTGAGTTATCTACCACGTATGCTTTAATTTAGGGGAAGAAGATCCTTAAACTTTCTATAGAATATTGTCTGTCATAGCTAAGTTTTAACTAATCACTAATAGGAGGTGTAATCTTGCTATTCTAGTATAGGATGAAATTCATTACCTATCATGATATTTTTGCCTACCCAGATGGAGCTGTTTTTACATTAGTTTGTGAGATTCAGAGAAAGCCTCTTTCCAGCAGATAAAGAACTATAATTCAAATCTATGGTTAGACATTAAGCCACATGTAGCTAGAGTCCTCTTAATATGGTTAGTCTAAATTGAGATATAAAATACACAGATTTCAAACAGTATGAAAAGAGAATGCACAGTTGCCCTATAATTTTATATTGACTATGTTAAAACAATAGTATTTTGGATTAAATATGTATTATTAAAATAATATCATTTGGTTTTAAAAATTGTTAAAGGGAGTACTAAAAATGTTAAGTTACATGTATATTTAACATTGCATTTCTGTAAGTTACCACTGACCTAGAGGCTATCCTGTGAGGATAAGTGAGTTGCTCAATCATGTCGGACTCTTTGCAACTCCACTGACTGTAGACCACCAGGTTCTTCTGTCCATGGAATTCTCCAGGCAAAAATACTGGAGTGGGTAACCATTCCCTTCTCCAGGGGATCTTCCCAACTCAGGGATCGAACTAGAGTCTCCTGCAGTGCAGGCAGATTCTTTACCATATGAGCCACCAGGAAATCCCTCTGTGAGATAACTTAGGTACAATGTATTGTTGCAGAAAATAATCGATAAGATAACAGATAAAAGGCAGTATCTACAGGACACTGTTGTAAAAAACAAAATCCTAGTTTATAAGAAAAGGAAACTTTGATTCTGCTAAACATAGTGAATATTATTAAATAAAAAAGAAGAACCCTCCATTGCAGTTCTAGACTTTAAGATGGCATCATTGCATTTAACTCTGCTTTATTTAATTTAACCCTCATTTGGTATGTGTGTATGTTTGTTTATTTTAATTTGATTTTAATAAGGGATGATCTTATAAAGTCAGGTTGAAGTCTTATGTTACTGGTGAAGAAATAGAATTTGCATCCACATTGTAGTCTATGTTGTATCAGGTTTTCATATGTACTCAGTTCAGTTCAGTTCACTTCAGTCACTCAGCCGTGTTCAACTCTTTGTGATCCCAGCAACCGCAGCACGCCAGGCCTCCCTGTCCATCACCAACTCCTGGAGTTTACATAAACTCATGTCCATTGAGTTGGCGATGCCATCCAACCATCTGATCCTCTGTCATCCCCTTCTCCTGCCCTCAATCTTTCCCAGCATCAGGGTCTTTTCAAATGAGTCAGCTCTTCGCATCAGGTGGCCTAAGTGTTGGAGTTTCAGCTTCAACATCAGTCCTTCCAATGAACACCCAGGACTGGATAGCTGTTAATTTTTCAAATGGTATGATTTGAAATGTGACAGAGATGGGATCTCTTAATGGGAGCTGTATTATATTTGGCATCATATTATAAGTCCAGTTTTAAGACCTAAAACATAAAGGTTGTAAAAATGAATAGAATCGATTTGAAAATAACAAATGTAGTGTGTTTATAATACATGCTTTATGCAGTACAGTCTGACTACCAATCTTCTTTCACTCCAAATATCATGCAATTCATGTACTGTGTCTAGGATCCAGATTTTTACCGAAGTCAAAAATTTCCCGAGGTGAAAGGTTTCATGTGACTTTTCATTTATAACTTGTGTCCCTGCCAGCACTTAGGGGCAAGAGTCCTCTGCAGTAGGTCTGGAACTGCTACTTGCAGGACGGGGTCATGAGGACTCTTTGGAGCTCAGTGAGGAAGGGTGCAGGAAGGGCAGGTAGGAGTGCCAGCGCTGACTACATCTCCTTTAGCTCTCAGGGGTCAGAGTGAGGGCTTCTCTGCTGTCTGTCATCCTTGCTTTTGGACAATAGCTAACCAAGGCGCTGCAGAAAGACAAGTCCTTTCTATGAAGCTCTAGAGAAAAGCAAACCAATTGAATTAACATTACAAAAGTTTGTTTTTACTATGAGTGTAACTTGCATAGCATCCCTACATTTTAGGAGGTCTTGTTATAACCGCTTTTATATCACAAGAGCAACAGTGAGAAACCACTTCAAATCCATGCTTCCCTTATAAAGGCCTGAATACACCTACCAGTGGTAACCAGGTGAGTACATGTAAAAATTTATTTAATAATAATAATTTTTAATAATATTTTTAAAATTTAATAAAAAATTTTTAATTCCAAAAATTTTTTTTGGAATTTCTAAAAGGTTATTTTCTCCTACAAAGGCCATAACAGAAACTTTCAAACTTGTTTTATAATTTTCACAGAATTGGTCTAGATCAGCATTGTACAATACAAATATAATGTGAGCCACATATGTAATTTTAATGTTTCTAGTAACCACATTGCAAATGTAAACAGAAATTGATAAAATTAATATATTTTATTTAACTCATATGCAATACATTTTTAAAATTAAATGGAACTGTAAGAACATTATCTTACAAGAGAAAACTTTGACTCTACCAGTCTGTAAAATTTCTTATCTTGGAGAAAAAATTTAAGAAGTATTAAAATCAAGACGATTCCTGATTAGATACCTATAACAATTAGTAATATTCAACTATACACATTCCAAGTCAAATAAATAAGTGTTAACTTTACTGTTTCATTTGTTGACATGGATTTGAGATTTCCTCCCACAGTTATTCAAAATTTCTCTCCCAAAATTCATGTATCAACAGAAAATTACAAGAAAGGGTGGGTCTGTTTTTCATCCTCTCTGCATCATTCAGATTTGGTCTAACCGTGGAGGTTCTATTAACTTCAAAATGAAGCCATCATTTAGAATGAGTTAGTATAATATATAGTACGAAGTAGGAAATCAGCACATCAATTTCGTTCTGCTCAGTACATATTTTGATATGACATATATGGATGAAAGTGAGAACACGTTTTTTGGGTAATCCAACTGTCGTGTGTTCTAACCCACACTCTGATACATTACCTTGGACAAGCAGCAGACTCTTGAGTCTGTCTGCTTACTAGTAAATTAAAACTACACCTCATAGGGTGCAGTGAGATCAAGTGACAAAGTAGATCAGAAGCCCCTGGCTCAATCCCTTGGGCATCACAAGCATTCAAGAAATGGTGACTTGACACAGAAAAGCTTTCCAAACCAATCTTCCAAAGTTAAACCCCAAATTGGATCAATTCTGCATACTTTATTTAGGAAGTATTTCCATGAAATGACAAATATTTTTAAAAGATCTTGAAAACCAACTTTTCAATGTTTGCCTTGAAATAGAAGTGGAATTTAGTGCTTCAAATACATACATACATATCAGGCCTCCTCCATAGAAAGTGTGCAGAACACTGGAAATGTAAAAGGCATACATTGCTAATAGCATGTTAACTTATTTATTCACATGGACAAATAAAAACTATATTGCTAGAAAACAGGTGGGAATGTTAGCACACAACTCTGTAGGCAACCTTCTATATTCCTAAGTAGACCCAGAAAATATTTCCACTACCAGGTCCCAAAGAGAATGCCAGGTAACTGGCTAGATTGGCTCACAGTTTCCTCTCCTCCCAATTCTCTACTTCCTATGCCTTCTCTTCCGAGGAAAATATTGGCTCATTATCTCTTTAGGGAGACAAAGAAAAAAGATATATCCATCCCTTGATTTTACTTCTTCCTAATTATTCCATTTTTAAAATTGAGAACAAAAACTTGTATCTTTTATTATCTTCACAAATATAAAATAATTTTAAAAGACGAGTATACCAATAAACAACTCTACAAGAAACTTTCATTTTTGTATCCTAAAGGGGATTAAAAAATATTTGGGGCATGGAATTCTCAAGTGAGAATGGTCAGGGAAAGGCTGTTTAGCTAACTGACCTTGAAAGATTAATTGATCTTGAGGAAAGCATTTTAGGATATAGTCTGAATAAATACCTGGAGACAGCAGCAACGTACAGGGAATGGAGAGTAGAAGAATTCAGGGACTGGACAGAACTGAAAGAGCCTGGTGGGAGAGACAGGGAATGAGTGGAGAAAGGGATTGGAAAGTAGCTTTGGATAAAGTACCTTGAGACTTGTCCAGTCTAGAGATTTTAGGTTTCATGTGTGGTCTCTAGGTGGAAAATTGCTATGTGATAGTTTTCAAAAATAGGAAGGT